TTGAATAAAAACTCACTGTAATGGTCACCTCGCGACGTCCATTAGTGTGGGATAGTCGGAAGGAAGATTAGCAATATTCAAAATCACTTCAATTTATTCTCAGATATGAACAACACAAATTCTATAACCAAGTTAAGAGACTTCCCCACCACTAAATATGGGAAGCAATAGTGAGGTAGACGAGATACGAGAATTCTTAATAAATGGGATCACTTACTTCCAGGCAATATACCTTATATATAAGTTCAAGCGACCTAATCTAATTTAATCTATAGTTGACAAAGCATCAATCTTTACTATTACACTAATCAGCTACGAAGTATTTACGGCTCAATTCACATTTAATTAATTAGTGCTATCCGTTAGTAGTCTATTTCCCTCTAACTTGAAAGTTTAATCTTTATATACAAGTCTTAATTTACATTCTCACATCTTCTTCGTCGGGGGAAGGTTTATAATTGAATAAATTTTACAGTCGCAATATTGGCCAAGATGATTATTTGAAAGAACGCGGATAGACCCGTCCCATGACAGCAGTTTTATATGCTACCTGTCTAAGTGTCTTAATCACCCCCCTCTCACACACACACGATATTGGATTATTGACTCCTTGTAATTTTAAATACGATTTTTTTAACTTTGTGGCTCTTATAATAGTAAATCTAAGTGAAATGAATGTAAACTTGCAGTAGTTCCTCTAATTACGAGATCACGATCAATAGAATCACTTGCTTAGATATTAATAAATAAGTGATCTCTTATCGACAATCATATCTTTTTTGATACAAATATTAGATGGCTCTTACAGTGAATGATTTGACATTTTCATTAATTATTTCTACGGGTGATAAGTTTTCTTAGCATTGTGTTTGTATTCTTCTCTGATAATATTACTAAAGATGTAACACTATAAATGTCTTTACGGATAAGGAATTAGGCTTTTTTTTCAGCAATTACATCAGTGAAATTGAATTTTGATAAAAATTTAAACTAAATTATTGTGTTTATCTTCAGAAGTCTCTCTATTAATGTAAAAACTTTACAGATATGCATGTGTACGCATCTTAAAAAATTACCACCTTTTAGAATTAATATTCAAATGTATTTTGTTTATTTTTATTAAAAATCCATTGTAACAATATGCATTGATAGGAATTGAAACAAAATTAACCCACATTTCAAATAAATTACAGTTTAAATTAGCTAAAAAAAGCTTTTATAGTCTCTCTCTCTCAATCGAACTAAAAAGTAAAAAATAATTCTTATTATAAGAATATAATGATTTACGAGAAAATTAATGTCATTTGGTTAAAAAGCATATGGTGCTTTGTACAACATTTATACAAATCTGCATTCCAGAATAGAACTAGTAAGAAATTATACCAATTAAATCGAGCACCCCACGCTTTTACAACAGTGGCATTAATTTTCTCGTTAATCATTTATTCTCATACTAAAAATTATTTTTTACTTATTAACTATAAAAACGTGTCTTTTAGTTTTTTTAAACTGTAATTTATTTTTCGTTTTTTAGTTCGATTTACAATAACAGCGTATTTTTTTTAGTTTTTAAAACTATATTTTATTTATTGATGAATTAATCTATTATTTTGCTGTATTTGTATTAACCATGAGTGTTTTCTCTTTAAGGTTGTACCTTAAACTTTTAGTCCCAAATCTGTAAATTGGATATAGAAATAGACCCCAAATTTGGAAATGGTATAATGAATTAGTCGCAAATATGGAAATCGTTATTTTTGACGATCCTGATCAGGACAATGGATCAAAATTATTAAATTATTGTATTTTCATCAGTTCTTGACGAAAGTATGCAAAGTTTCAAATTGATCTGAATTTATAAAGGGGAGAAAATTCGAGTTCAAAGATTCCGTAACATACAGGTAAAGTTAATAAAAGCGTGCAAAAATTTTAATGTAGTAAAAGAAGGAAACTTCTCAACGTCGTAACAAAATATAAGAACAAGACACAATATAATGCACACAGAAAATCAACCTAAATAGCTTTTATGTAACTTCTTTTATGTTACTATTGGAATTGCGACATGCTGTTCTAATTAATCAACAAAATTATTTAAAAGGGAACATGGTACGATTTACACAAAAAAATTTAATTTAAGGATTTAAAATTTTTTTGCTGTCTACTATGTGTGCATGCTATGTAAAACCGTTTTTGGGCTCAAAAATTTATAAAAACCTAGTCATTTAGTGTTTTAAGGGAAAAACTTAAAATGTGTGAAGTGATTTTAAAATGGTACTCTCCCCTACAAAAATTTACGTACACGCATGAAATTTAATTTACAAATACCTCAAACTATGTATAACAAAAGTTGGTATGAATTTTGTGATGACCTGATTGGTATTTGTTCAATATTTCTTTTTGTGAATGCTTTTTGAAAATTCTTTAAAAAATGTATAAATTCTGAGTTCAATTATCTTTTGAAAAATAAGTAATGCTTTGATTCAAAAATGCATACCAACTTTTGTTACATGTAATACTAGCAATTGGTAAAATAAGCCTTAGCACTTTAAATGAAGACAAAATAGTTATTTTATCTTTCTGATATAAGTCAGTTTAAAGTTTTAGTTTGCCATAGGGATGTGAATAAAAATGAACGCAAAAGCTATCATAAATCTGCGTTTTTTTAAGTTTAAAGCTTTCAAATTCTATGAGGTTATAGAAAAGAATGTAAAAAATAATTTAGATTAAAAAAAAATTAGATTTGATTTTTTGACCAATTTTTGTCAAATAAATGGTACTCTGTCACCTTAACTTATTTAAAAAAATAGCCCTAATGTAAGCTTACATTCCCTTCCAACCAGTTATATATCTTACAAAATCAGATTTTGTGTGACTCCGTTTATATAAATGTTAATTCACAAACTTGTTTTCTAATGAAGTATTGTTTTCTACAAATTTACGATAATAAGAACCTAAATGGAAATAAACATAAAGAAAAGGGAATATGTTTTTAATTATAATATTCTAATTACTACCTATCTATATTATTTATAATTTATTATATATTGCACATATAATGTGTTATGTCTTCGGAGAAATCAAAACAATTCTGCAATTTTATAAATCTATTTTTATATGAGTGCCCAATAAAGCTAATTAAATACATTCACTTTCAAACACTTTACCCACTATAAACTGTGCGTAGTAAAACTCAAAATGTTTTGCTAATTTATTTCATAATCGTATAACCATTTCTCCTGTTGCATCATCAACAATTAAATGCAGGTTTTATTTTTTATTTTTTTTTTTGTATAGGGTGTTTTTTTATAGGTATAGAACTTTAAATTCAAATAAAACAACGATGTATTATTCGATTGACATGAATTTTTTTTTATTCGAAAGATAATCTTGTGGCATTACATTTTAAATATGATCAAGCAAGGCGTAGATTCGTCGAATGGGCCCAAAACGAGATTGCCGTTGTTCCCGATTTTCATAAGCGAATTTTGTTTAGCGATGAAGCGCACTTCTGGTTGAATGGCTACGTCAACAAACAAAACTGCCGCATTTGGAGTGAAGCTAATCCACAAGTGTATGTCGAAACACCGTTACATCCAGAAAAACTGACTGTTTGGTGCGCTTTATGGGCTGGTGGAATCATTGGTCCGTACTTCTACAAAAACGATGAAGGCCACAACGTTACAGTCAATGGTGATCGGTATAGAGCCATGATTACTAACTTTTTCATTTTTGAATTGAACAATCATGATGTCCAGGAGCTGTGATTCCAACAATTCGGCGCAACATGTCACACAGCTAGTGCCACAATCGATTTATTGAAAGACACGTTTGGTGACCGCATAATTTCACGTTTTGGACCAGTGACGTGGCCTCCAAGATCTTGTGATTTAACACCGCTAGACTATTTTATGTGGGGCTATGTAAAGTCATTGGTCTATGCGGATAAGCCACAAACGCTTGACCATTTGGAAGACAACATTCGCCGTGTTATTGCCGATATACGGCCACAAATGTTGGAAAAAGTCATCGAAAATTGGACGTCCAGATTGGACTACATCCGAGCCAGCCGTGGCAGTCCTATGCCAGAAATCATATTTACAATGTAATGCCACAAGATTATCTTTCAAATATAAAAAAATCATGTCAATCGAATAATACATCGTTGTTTTATTGCAATTTAAAGTTCTATACCTCTAAAAAAACACCCTTTATTATCCAGATTGTAAATTTGTCTACTTGATAATATTTACTGTACGCGAATATATTTATGTATGAGTGTGTGTGTATGCATATATATGTATATATGTTTATGCATGTTTCTACATGTGTATATATGTGTGTATAAATGCTTTATGTATTTGTATTTTGAAAATCTTATTATGATTATGTTTCCTGTACTTCTCAATTGTATAATTTTAATTACTGAATGTCTCCATTTCCATGTGAGCAATTTTGTACTTTGTTCTGTATTTATATAATTTGCATCCATTTTTTTGTTTCTTTTCCCTTTTTATTTCCATCTGTGCTATATCCTTCTACTTGAAATTTATTACCACTATTGGTTGAGTATTGACTTATGTTTGTATGCCTTGCGTTATACTTGTCGGCACAAAAGAAGTCTAACTAGAGTCTCAAAAAAAAGTGGTGTATTAGCCTACGCAAAACTATTTCGTAAAATAATTGCACTTCATAATATGGATCATTGTATTTATTGAACACAATTTAGCATTTATCAATCACATTTTATTAAATTAATATGTAAAATTAAAGTGTTAAGAAAATGTTAATTTTCATAACACAGTACCAATGTATAAAAATTTCGTGAAAGTAAATGTGCTTTACTTTTTGACCTTGACCAACACCACGACTTCATAACTCATAAACAGCATCGTTTTTTTTAAGTTTACAATTGAAAGTAGGTGAGTGGTATAAGGCTTGCGTTTCTTAATCTGATGTGCTTATTATTTTAATAATTCTTCAACATGCTATTAGTTGTTGTTGGGGGCGTAGCTCATATGGTAGAGTGCTCGCTTAGCATGTGAGAAGTACCGGGATCGTTACCATGCGCCTCCAATTCAAATATCAATTTTAATCCAAAAAGTAAAGTATTTTAATAAGTAAATAGTTATTTAAATCAATTATTTATATATATATAAGGAGATATTAAAAAATTTATATAGCACAGAGTATTAAAATAAAAAAAAATTAAAAATTATAATATTCTAGAAATTATTCTGTATCATTTACTTCGTAGATAATAAATATGCATTTCACTCTCCCCTTGTTTTTTACATTACCTTATAACAAAAAAAATGGTATGAAATACAAAACAGTTTACGTTTAGATACATACTAAAAATATGTTTGTCAGTACATTAGTTATTCATTTACATCTCTTAAAAAATTTATTTCATTTGAATATTGTATTTCCCATTTAAAGATATTAAAAGAATACTACACTTTACTCTTTTCTTTTGTGCATTTTATGCATATTTATTAAATAAATAAAGAATTTCTAATAAATAGCATATATATATATATATATATATACATATATATATATATATATATATATATATATATATATATATATATATATATATATATATATATATATATATATATATATATTTACTTAATTTCTTAGAATCCCGTGTCTGAGTGCTCAGAAATATGTTTTGATGAAAATAAATTTATAAAAAAGCTTTTAATATGAATAGCTTCAACTGAAATATCTAAACTATCTTGAATTTTAATTACTAATATTAACTATTAATAATAAGTGTTATTTACTGAACTTGCTGAAACTAAAAAAGGAAATATTTAGAGAATTTTTCATAAAATTAGATAAAACTTGCATTGTTTAGGAAAACACTGTTTCTCAAAAATTAGAACAGATTCAAAATATGAAGCATTTTTAATTGAAAGTATAAATTAATTTTTTAAAATGTAATTGTCCTCGTACTTTATTTTATCTAAAATATAACTGCAAAAACAATAGTTTGAGAAAAAATTTTAAAAAATTAATTGGATATATCTCTAAGATAAAATAAATTTACAATTATCCCTAAATTCATCTAACCCTAAAAATAACAATAAAATTACCTTACATTTTAAAATTAAGTTGTATACTGATGTATGCATTTAAATTATTATTGCAATGAAATTCGATAGCACTGTTTAATTTTCCTTACTTATCATCAGATTTTAACTAATGAATTTCCTAACAAAAGTGATTTCTAAAAAAATCACTTTGGTTGTTTGACATCTTATTTTAAATTTCCTCATAATTTATATACCCGCTTCTATCTTTGACAAATTGTTCCAATTATTAAAATTATATTGAAAAATATTTCATATAACAATATATATATATATATACATATATATATATATATATATATATATATATAATAGCGTATTGGAACAATATTCAATATATATATATATATATATATACCGGGTGATCAAAAAGTCAGTATAAATTTGAAAAATTAATAAATCACGGAATAATGTAGATAGAGAGGTAAAAATTGACACACATGCTTGGAATGACATGGGGTTTTATTAGAACAAAAAAAAATAATAAAGTTCACAAAATGTCCTACAGATGGCGCTTCATCTGATAAGAAAAGCAATAATTAGCATAACAAATTAAGACAAAGCAAAGATGATGTTCTTTACAGGAAATGCTCAATATGTTCACCATCATTCCTCAACAATAGCTGCAGTCTAGGAATAATGTTGTGAACAGCACTGTAAAGCATGCCCGGAGTTATGGTGAGGCATTGGAGTCGGATGTTGTCTTTCAGCATCACTAGAGATGTCGGTCGATCACGATACACTTGTGACTTCAGGTAACCCCAAAGCCAATAATCGCACGGACTGAGATCTGGGGACCTGGGAGCCCAAGCATGATGAAAGTGGCGGCTGAGCACACGATCATCACCAAACGACCTGCGCAAGAGATCTTTCACGCGTCTAGCAATATGGGGTGGAGCGCCATCCTGCATAAAAATCGTACGTTCCAGCAGGTGTTTATCAGCCAGGCTGGGGATGATGTGATTCTGTAACATATCGGTGTACCGCTCACCCGTCACGGTAGCAGTTACAAAACCAGAATCACGCATTTCCTCGAAGAAAAAAGGCCCGATAACGGTAGATGTGGTAAATCCAACCCATACCGTGACTTTCTCGTCGTGCAATGGAAATTCCACGACAGTTCTAGGATTTTGAGTAGCCCAAATTCTGCAGTTGTGGGTGTTGACAGACCCTCGGAGCGTGAAACGAGCCTCGTCGGTCCACAACAAGTTACTCAACCAATCGTCATCTTCCGCCATCTTTTGAAACGCCCACACCGCAAATGCCCTCCGATTCACGGAATCGCCAGGTAACAATTCATGATGCCGATGGATTTTGTACGGATAGCATCGGAGGGTACGCCTAAGTGCCAACCAAACAGTAGTGTATGGAATGCCGGTGTGACTGCACGGGCGCTGACTTCCCCGTGCATAGACGGACCCGCTACAGTCTCCATTTCATCCTTAACCGTCTCAGCAGCATTCCGCCGTGTGCTCGGTCGGCCACTACGGGGTCTATCGTCTAAACAACCCGTCGCTTCGAACTTCGAAATCATTCTCGCCACAGCTGCATTTGTCAACGGACCTTTACCCCTTCGAATTCCCTTCGTATGGTGATAGGAACGTAACGCTGCTCTCTCTAGCACATTCCCCATTCCGATAATACAGCTTCACTAACAGTGCCTTTTCAGGTAACGTCAACATGCTGCGACTGCTGGTGCAACTCATTCTCTCTCTCATGACAGCCCCTTTTCTACGCGATTTTCTTGCGCAGTCACTGACGTTTTGTTGTCCAGCGCCATCTGTCGGACATTTTGTGAACTTTATTTATTTTATTTTTTTGTTCTAATAAAACCCCATGTCATTCCAAGCATGTGTGTCAATTTTTATCTCTCTATCTACATTATTCCGTGATTTATTAATTTTTCAAATTTATACTGACTTTTTATGACTATAAAATGTGCCTTTAAAATTCTCACAACATTAGGATTACATCCCAGGGGCTCACATTTACTTTTACTTATTACTGATTAGAAACTTAATTTTTAATTAATTATATTTACATCTTTAATGCATATTTTTTTGATTTTTTCATACTGAAGCATTAATTAAACCATCAAAGTTATTAAAGTGTTAACGTGCATGTTGAAATCTAATGTTTGTTAATAATATAGTAAACAATTTCATTCAAGTTGTTTTCTTCGCTGAGCAATGGTTTAAGCATTTTTATTGCTTTTATAATTACAGTAATGGCAGGTAATTAAATTAACGTTAGCATATAAAAATTTATAATTATCGCTTTGAGTTAAATTGTAATTATTTATTTTGAATGCCAGGTTAAAGTTAATATGCATGAAACAATATTATATAAAACAAATATATAAAGTATTAGAAACACGTTGATTTTTTTTAAACACGTTGGTTCTTTTAACATTTAGAAATAAATGTAATCTCTTTAAATAATTTCAGTACTTTATTGAAATGTATTTTTCATTTCATTCTTTCATTTGCGGTACTCTTAAAATGAAGCCATCATCTTTTATTACTAATTTTATTCCACTATTATCCATAAAACTTTTTAAAATTTTTCTTGCAATTTAAATTTTGTCAAAGAGAGAGAGAGAGTCTACCATTTTTACATAATATAAATTACATATTACTTCACTTTATTTTTATCTATGTATGGGATTACAACAATTTTACTCTTTTTGTAATAAATTTTTGAATAGACTGTTAAGAATCTTCAAATAGTTTCATATTGTTAATATGTCTGCTATTTTCTATTCGTTTTCATGTTTGCTACCATCAGGTTTTAAGAATTTATTTTATCTTTGGTATTTCGAATTGTGGTGTGTGTGCTCTTTGCAGCTAATGTATGATGGTTGCTGCATTTTGTAAGATTTAGTGTTTGCAGAGGTTATTTCTTGGGAAAATTGAAAAGTTAAACATTTGATTTAATACTCACAATTATGTCATAATATTAACATCACTGATGATAACTTATCAAATATTGATACGTATGTTGTTTAAGGTATCCGTCTATACATGTGACAACTTTTTTGCTAAAAGATGGACAAATGTTTTCGTGGTTTTTAGATTCCTTTAGTAAATTTTAAGAAAAAAAGGCTAAAATTGAAAAGATAAAAAAAATATTACTACTAAAATGGGGAAAAAATGAGTGAAAATTGACAAACAATTACATAAACGGGGCCCGCTCTATACAAATAGTAAGTGAACATATATTCAATTTTTCAATTTTGATGCAATTACTTTGCTATTCCTTTTTAAAATGACCTTCAAGATAAGAGATATTTTAATGTTTACAAAAACTAGAGCACTTTATCTTAGTTGTTATATGAAATTGCTTAAAAAGAACAGTGATTATATACACACAAAGAACTGCAAATTTTGTAATAAAACAGTGATTGATAAATCTGAAGGTTTAAACACTTCTACTGTTATACAGAAAATACACAAAAAGTTTCGGCAAATTATTTTTAAAACTTTTTGAGCAATCGCTGTCTAGCTTTGAGCTTATCGGGAGAAAAAAAAACAGATTTCGAGTAAAATGCATTTTAAAATTTGACATCTTACGTAAACTTATGGCATATGTTTTTATTAAAATAGTTATAGTTTTTGTTCTAGTGAATGGTAAATAAAAAATTGGTATTTTTATAAAGCTAATAAAATGGCCTATAAAATAAAATCACAAAAACAATGTCAATTTTTTTGAAAAAAAAATCATTATTTTAGGATAGTCAGACATTTTAATTAATGCTTAAAATAGTGTAAATAATATTGTATCTAAATGTTTAATACATTAATACTACTTTTTGCTGCATTTACTTTATGATGATAGTTGTAATATTTGCAAGTAACACCGTTAATTCCATTGTAACGGTGATTTCATCGAAACTTAGTGGAATATTAGCGATACATTCAATTTGGCATCGTTTTTGGCGACCAAATTTCACAAGTTGGTGACATTTTTGGT